ACAAGAGCAGAACTGGCTTAAGTCACCATAAGACCAAGAAGAATGTGCAACTCCTAAAAGCCAGAAACAAGGACTAAGAGAACATGTTGAAATTTATGCAATTGGAGCTCTAACTTTTTTTAATATCAAGTCTCCCCAACCTACACCTCGCAAGCCCCTACCTAACCATGATAACAACCCTTAAACATGTAAGCCAAAAATGAATACCCACTCCGCACAAATGGAGAAAACAATAAATAACAGGCTCTGTGTCCGTCTAAAGTGCAATAAATCTTATCATCATCTTCTTATATCATTATAAACAAAACTAGGAAGCAATCAGATCATGTTAATTGTAAAAAGATATAAATTTATATAGAGGAAATACAATTTTACTCGTAATAGAAATAAAGAAGTTATGTAGACTGAAAATAGCAAAACAGGTTCATTGATTATGAAAAAACTGTGAGGTGACTGAGCAACAAGTATAATTTTCTTTCATGCCAGGTTCATTATCATGTCCTTTCAAAATAAATCTTCATTCCATCTTTTACGAAGGAAAGACAATAATTTTTAGTTTAAAAAATTGATTCGACTGTCAATTGTCGAAATTATCATAAATTACTACTAGTGGAAAATAATAATTGATAAATTATTGAATAACTAAAAAATCATTTGAACAAAAGATAAAAGTAAGGATGTGAATGACTAATAATATCACCTTACAAGCTAATGCTAAATAACATCATGAATATACACAAAAGAATAAAAAAAATGGAATTAAAGACCATAACAATTGAGTAAAAAATTAAAAAAGAAGGGACAAGTTCATAACACTTAAGTATTTAGTAAATAGCATCCTGATTCCGGGATATGTAGCATTGGAGCACCCACAAGTAGGAAGAAAAAAGCTCAGCATTTAGGGTTGCCATCGAATCAACCTCAATTCTGGTCGTCGAGGAAGGAGATTTCAAGACATAAGGAGAAAATCTGAAATATTGCAAACTATGGTAAGCAGCCCATCAGGAACACGACACAAATGGAACTTATTGAATTCTTAACTTACCTTCATTCATTCCACGTTCATGAATCTCATCAACAATAACATGAGTTACACCTTTCAAATTTCTATCACAACAGTAACTCCTCAATAGTATTCATCGTGTGCAAAACAGAAGGCGTGTGTCCCTCCCTTTGATTCCCCTAGCCGAACTTATACCCAACCTTTCAAGAGGGACAAAAAGTAAAAATAAATAAAGAATTAATCCGCATTGACAATACCACAATAATCTAAATCATACAACAAGCTTGGGCTTTTGAAGCAAGGGTAGTAATATCAGAAGAAGAAACTAACAGATTCTCCAATTTTCTCTCCTCGTTCTGCAGCAACTCTCTCAGAAACAGCAATGGCAGATATTCTTCTAGGCTGAGTACATATGATACTGCAGGCTACTCCACGAGCAGCTTCAATTTCCGATTCTAATATGTACTGAGGAAGCTGGGTGGTTTTACCACAGCCAGTTTCACCAGAGACAACAACCACCTGCAAACAGTAAATCATGTTTTTACAATGAGCATGTCAGCCATCAGTAACAATTTCAAAATTATGTAAGCATGTAAAACTGATATTATTTGTTTGGTAGATGCATCTATCAAATCACAGTTGATGCAAAATGATTTTATGCGTTCGGACCTTAAACAGAATAAAGCCCTTACTCAGAACAACGCCCTTACTAAGGCAACGCCATGACTAGATAATGGCCCTTTCATGGAAGGAACAAATAAATGCCTGCTTAGTTAAGGTATCCAAATCTTCAATGAACAAGGCCACAAGGATTTCTTATAGACATCAAACCCATACAGAGAGAGATAGAAAGAAAGGAAGGATCTAAACAGGCAACAAGACCCACTCATAACAACAAACTCATTATACTTCACCTGATTCTGTGCAATGGCATTTAATAATGCTTCCCTCTCCTTATGTGCAGGAAGGCTTCTACGAAATTCGAGCATCTTTTGACCTTCAGGAGTTTCCTACAGAAGATTTCAAGTTTTTCAAAAAAATTTGAGACATTCAGAGGAACGAAAAAGGAAAACAGAAAGCCATCCTAATCCTAAAATAAAAAAAACTGGCAAAAACATGAAAATGAAACATACAAATTTTGTAGCAATACTGAGAGATCAGAAACTTGTTCTGCCAACATATTAACTATAACTACTAACAGTACAAACTAATTATTGACAACTTCTACTCCAACTTCTAGACATGAATATAGCAACCAAACCAAAATTCCCATTAAGAAAAAATGAGAAACATATATTGAATTTAATATTTGACAGGAAACATGATATATAGCATAAACTTCATACTTGACTTTGTAAAGAAAAATGAAAATAACACTCAGAGCAGATTTAAAATCCCTAAAAAATGCCTAAACTGAAGACGGATATTTTCCAAATAAGGAAAAGCCACTGTAAAACAAGCAAACACTACATCTCAAAATCATAAAAATGCTCGTGTGTACTCCACTTCCAAAAAGTAGCATGCTAAGGTTTTGCTTCGGATGATTATTCCAGAGTTGTATTACGCTGCTGTTAACTAGAGAGTAAGCATCAATATAGGAATTTTTTTCCTCTATTTATTTATGTTTTTCACAACTCTCAGCAACTCAATTAATTCGATTCAAGTAAGTCTCCGATAGAATCTATCATTTTCCCATCAATGTCAGCCACAACAATGTTTAACTGATTGATAGAGACATTGATCACAAAAAAGTCTTACAGGACAGTATAGTTATCATTCCAAAGGAAATTGATCATCTCTATATCCATAACCCACAGTAGCATTACAACACGTAGCTTGTGAACACGGGAGTGAGTATAAAGACTAGCTACACAAAGGAACAAAGTAAAAAGTCATTCTATTTCTTCAACACAATTATCCCTTCATAGCAATGTTGCAGGCAACGTTTTACAAAATAAGGACACAAGAAGCACATTAGTGCTTTCTTGCAGTGGCATTTAATTTTGCTATTGAAAAACAAGCGAGACTTAATTCTTATTATCAAAATAATAAAATGAAAAAAATTATGTTCATATTACTCAAATATAAGTAAATTACAGAAAAACAAGAAATGCCAGCTAGGATAACTGACACAGGAAGAAATTTATAAAATTATTAGAGTAGAAATGAACCTGCCAATATCGCTGCTTTTCACGCAGCGGCAAACTTCGCCACCAGAGCATTTTCTCCATTAAAGCACTATTGCTCACAAGTGGGACCTGCTGCTCGTAAAGTCCTTCATCAGTAGCAATACTTCCACTGCTGTTTGATTCTGACAAAGAGTTATCTGACAAAAATCCCCCATTTCTATATTTGAGTTGTTCATAAGCTTTGAGATGACTATCTACTTCTCTTAACAGTTCCAATGGTAAGATAACCTGAAGGTGGTCAGCAAATTGAATTTTATCATTAATTATCCTTAAGAATTTGTTCCATTATCATTCTCAAACTACACTAAATTTAACAATAGAGCAAAAGCAAAGTTAGGTATCCAGAAAAAACCTCTCTCGGTGGACGCTTATCATCTAGATCAGATCTGTAACTCGGCAGTGTGACTTTACTAAAGACTACTACTTTTGCATACTGACGACTGCCAACAAATATTTAAATGTTACAAGAATTTATATGAAAAATACAAGAAAAATGATTCTATAAACCAAAATAGTGAATAAACCTATGTAAACCCATTCCGGTAGCCAAAGCTGAAAGTTGTTGAAAGTCACGCCTGTCCTTTTTTTCCCTTGACACAATCTCTTGCTCATCTTTGTTGTCAAGAAGCATGGTTAACTTCCTTCTCCAATCATCCATATTCTCAAAGGTTGAACCAAACTGAGAAGCCTTAAACAACAAGGTTGTGTGTGTCAGAGTTAGACATGTCACATACAGAAATATGGCACATCAACAGATAGGAAGTTAAAACACCATAAACCAACAATGCCACAAGTGAGAACTAAATTTCCACATACCAGTCATACTGATGACTAACAGAAAATTTAAGCAGCAGCGTAATCTATCAAAACTAAATTTTTAGGTAAGTTACAGTTCAGAGTGATGTATGCTGCCAGAATCTCTTTTCACTTGTAACATTTACAGGAAAGACATATATCGTCTCAAGAGAACAACCTTATCGACGCCTCAATCTCAACAACCGCTAATGCAATTTGATGGTTTCACTTAGCCTTACAACTTCAAGAAAACCATATTAGGCTTAAGATGTTCTACTCATTTTATTGCAAATTACTATTATTTCTAACGGTTCAAAGCTTGAATTACTAATAAACATTGCCACACAAAGAAAACCAAAAAAATTGAATCGAATTATCTAATTGAATGAAAAAAGTATAACTAACCATTTGTGACAGGTTTGGGCCGAATTCACGATCGCTAACCATTTGTGACAATTGTGACAGGGTTGAGCCGAATTCAGGATCGGAATCATCGTTGGAAGCGTCCTGGTGGGCAAACTGGCCATAATTAGAGGTCTGCCGTTCCAAATACGGCCACGAAACGTTCTTCCAATTCAACCTACTGGTTCTAGTGGCAGCCGCCGAGCAGATGAGGACCCCGTGCCTCCTCAAGTGAGGTACAGACCTGAAGGAGAGGCATTGGTTTCTGGAAACAAGAAGGGAAAAGCGAGAGGGTTTTAATAGGGTTTTTAGGGATATATAGAACGGGGAAGACTTGTGTCTTAGAGACATGAAAAAGGATGAGCAGGGCATCCTTTTGTAGAACACAAAGTGTTTGTGTGATTGATAATTTGGTTACATTACATATTGTGGAGAAGTGAAGTGAAATGACAATGTGGGTAGAGGGGTTTTGTGGGGGTTTTGACTTTTGAGGCTTTTCTTTTGCCAACTTCGCCTGGAAATTGAATTTTAAAAAATAAAAATATAGGAGGTATTTATCCTAAATGAAGAACAACCTTATTATTACTACCAAACACCTCCTTTAACCAAATACACTATTTCAATTCAAACTCCACCTTGTTCCAGAACCCCCCATCTCTCTTCTAGGGTTTCTTTTTTACTCTCGATCTTCCTTCTACTTTAAACTCCCACCCGTTAGATTTTAAACCTACCAATGGCAGCGCCGGCCGTCTCTCAACCTCGCTCCATATCTTCCAAAACCGAGTCCTATGTTGACAACAAGCGCAAAGAAGACATCCGTCAGGCCAACATCTTGGCAGCTCGCGCTGTGGCTGACGCCGTTCGTACCAGTCTCGGGCCCAAGGGTATGGACAAGATGATCTCCACTGCCAGCGGCGAGGTCATCATCACAAATGACGGTGCAACGATCCTGAACAAAATGGAAGTCCTTCAGCCAGCCGCCAAGATGCTCGTCGAGCTCTCCAAGTCTCAGGATGCCGCTGCCGGTGACGGCACCACCACTGTCGTTGTCATCGCTGGCGCATTTTTGAAACAGTGCTTCACTCTGTTGTCTAACGGAATTCATCCGACAGTTATTTCGGACTCTCTTCACAAGGCTGCAATTAAAGCCGTTGATGTATTAACGGCGATGGCTGTTCCAGTAGAATTAACTGACCGTGAGAGTTTGATTAAATCGGCGAGTACTTCGTTAAATAGTAAGGTTGTGAGTCAGTACTCTACGTTGCTAGCGCCATTAGCTGTTGACGCTGTTTTGACGGTGGTGGATCCCGCCAAACCAGATTTAGTTGATTTGAGAGATATTAAGATAGTGAAGAAATTAGGAGGGACAGTTGATGATACTGAGATGGTCAAAGGTTTAGTTTTTGATAAGAAAGTGAGTCATGCGGCAGGCGGACCCACGCGTGTCGAGAACGCAAAAATTGCGGTGATTCAGTTTCAGATTTCGCCGCCGAAGACTGACATTGAGCAGAGCATTGTGGTTTCCGATTATACGCAGATGGATAGGATTTTGAAGGAGGAGAGGAATTATATATTGGGAATGATTAAGAAGATCAAAGCCACTGGGTGTAATGTGTTGTTGATTCAAAAGAGTATTTTGAGAGATGCTGTGACAGATTTATCATTGCATTATCTGGCGAAATCCAAGATCTTGGTGGTTAAAGATGTAGAGAGGGATGAGATTGAGTTTATCACTAAGACTTTGAATTGCTTGCCCATTGCTAATATTGATCATTTCCGTGCTGAGAAGTTAGGGTATGCAGATTTGGTGGAGGAGGTGTCGCTAGGAGATGGGAAAATTGTGAAGATTACTGGGATTAAGGATATGGGTAGGACTACGACTGTACTTGTTCGTGGGTCGAATCAGTTAGTGATCGATGAGGCTGAGAGGAGTTTGCACGATGCTTTGTGTGTAGTTAGGTGTTTGGTGAATAAAAGGTTTTTGATTGCAGGTGGTGGTGCACCAGAGATTGAACTTTCGAGGCAGCTAGGTGCGTGGGCAAAGGTATTGCATGGAATGGAAGGGTATTGTGTGAGGTCATTTGCAGAGGCACTTGAAGTTATTCCCTACACTTTGGCTGAGAATGCGGGGTTGAATCCAATTGCCATTGTGACTGAGTTGAGGAACAGGCATGCGCAGGGGGAGATCAATGCTGGTATCAATGTGAGGAAGGGGCAGATTACAAATATTTTGGAGGAGAATGTGGTGCAGCCGCTGCTTGTGAGCACTAGTGCAATTACACTGGCAACAGAGTGTGTTCGGATGATTTTGAAGATTGATGACATTGTTACAGTGCGATAGTTTGAATCCAAATACGGAAATTTGATTTGGTGTTTATGTTTTGGGCTTGTGTGCTATCTATATTAGTAAGTCATCTGTTTTAGGGTTGCCTGTGGTGTAATATCTTTTAGGATTGATTGTGGTGAAGAATTTTGACTGCCTTTGTCACCAAATCTTTGGTTTAAATTTGGATTTTATGTTCTCTTCAGAGTATTCTCCTGTTATTTTTTTTATCAGTTCTTATGCATTGACATTGGTTAATGATAATTTTTTAGTAGTCTATAACATTTCTATAATCCATATATTATGAATCATTTCCTGGAATAAGTATATGAATGAATGATTGTATACCATTTGAGCAGTTCTCAACTATTTATTATAGAAGTTTTGCTGAAGAAATTAATGATTTGACTTTTGGTAGTTTTATATTTTGTTTTGTTTGGAACATTACATATCTTCAAAGAGAAACATATGGTATTAACATGTTTTGATTACTTTTTGCTGCTTGGAAATGTGTATGAACTGAGAGTCAATTTTATTCCTGGTAAGGCATCTTTTGCCCTAGGGTGCTACACATTGAGTTTGTCATTTGAAACAATTGTCTCTGTGGTTGATGCATGATTAAAAATTAGTGTCAGAGCAACCTAGAGATCTTATTCTAGCTTCAATATTGAAATTGTCTTCAGGCCTACTAGCATCAGGGCAAATGTAAACTGGCTGGTATCATCGGTTGCATCTAACTAATTTGTTGGGTTCCATCATGTCCATAATAGCTTTGAGAATGAGAATTTTCTTTCTGCTATCTAGGATGTAGAGGAGTCAAACTGACCTTTTTCAGGAATAGGGGCTTGAAATCTTACAATCATAAAGTAAATGGATTTTCTGTGAGCTATAAATTAGGTGGGATTTAATGGTGGAGTCACTGATAAATGCAAACAGTGGTGTTTTTCGTCTTAATAAAAGTTTGGTTTCAATAGTTTATCATAATAAGGCTTAGGCGGGATATGTGGGATGTAATCATGGATTTAGACCTCTGTTGAAATTTTCTCTTGGTATCAAGGTGTCTTTACATTCTTTGTCAGCGTCAGCCATGGTGTTGGTGTAGATGACTTTACATGGTGTATAAGATTTTTGGGACTACTATTTGGTGATAAAAGGAATTAGTAGTACTCTAATTTCATTGCAGAATGTGCATGGAACATGATTTGAAGTACTAGATATAGAAAGAAGGCATTGACTACAAGAAACAGGAAGATATTACTTATGTTCCTTTATAAAATTCATTTATCTTATAAGGTTTGGTGTTGAGAATCATTGGCGTGTCTCATAAAGTTTTGCCTCTGACAACTTCCTTTTGCTGTATTTGCCATTTTAGTTGATTCTTTTTAATTTGTGAAAAACATAGGATATAGTGGTGCATGGATAAGAATGCAATTGTGAGGAGGATTTTGATCCCCGCCCTTCATATAAAAAAGTTTACGGTCATTTGAATTGAATGAATTCCTTCAAACTTTCTGTTGCCTGATATCATCATGTAACGAATGGCATGCATAGTGTGCAACTTTGAACTGAATGTATACCTTGGAGCTGTTTAAGAAACCAGATGCTAAGAGAACTGTGTTACATGAGAGTAGACATTGAAACGGTCAATCTGTTCTTGGCTCCATGATATTTACTAGTTAATAATAGCCATTACTTTAGTTTGGATTAAATTGTATAGTATCAATTTTCAAGTCAATTCATCTAGTTTTACAAAATTTATGGGCCAATACTAATAATATGATATGTCCTATTAAATCAGACAAATGTAATGAGTTACCAAGACTAGTTAGCTTGATTTTATCTAGAAAACACACGGTCTTATTCTTACACATTCTTTAAGGTTTTAAAAACCTCAAACCGTCCGAATCAGACCGACTGATGTAAATGCTGTGATGTGAGCTAAAACCAGATAAATGATGTAATGACTAAGAATTGAAGTAATCCAAAAAAAAGCAAGTAAATGAAGAAAGCGTGAGTTTTGCAGTATACTTCTTTAACACAGGAGCCTGCAACATTTTTGACATACATATTGTTGGTTTTGCATGAAAACGAAGCAGAAAATCAGATGAAAGAAAGAGAACCATGAGACTGAAATAATACTCTGTTTTTTATTCAAAAAACAGGGATAAATTTACACAAAGGACACGCCACTGCTCCACTTAATGAAAATACAAATTTCAAATTTGAACACCTTACACCAACTAATATACGTACAGGTATAAGCAAAATTACATTAAACCAAACCTAATACACCTAAACATGTCATTGAATCAATCCAAAACAATGACCCAAAAACTGCTTCTGCATGAACAGTGGGAGACCAACCGGCGGTAAAACATGCAGTTCAAAAATTTATGCCAACTTCTTCATTTTCAGCATGGTATCACCATTCAACACTCCTCCTTGATATCATTCTGGAAACACCAAGTCTGAACTGAAGATATTCAAACTTGACTTTGGACAATGGCTTAGTCATGATGTCTGCAACCTGTTCTTGTCCCCGGCAGTGTATCAACTCAACCTCACCGTCTTGGTCAGCTTCCCTTACTACATGGAATTTTATCTTAATATGCTTTGTATAGCCATGATGAACTGAGTTTTTGGCCATAGCAACTGTAGACAGATTGTCACAAAAAATCATAGTAGGCTGTCTCTGAGTTTGCTTTAGATCATTCAAAATCTTCCTAAGCCAAATGGCTTGGTTCACGACAGCAACAAAAATGTATTCTGCTTCTACTATAGACTAAGCTACCGTTTCCTTCTTTTTGGACAACTAACACACATCACCTGAATTCAGGAAAAACACATAGCCGAATGTACTCTTCATATCATCAATCGATCTAGCCTAGTCACTATCTGAATATCCCACTAGCTGGAAATTTTCAAACTTCCTGAACCACACACCAAGTCCAGGATTACCTTTAATATACATGAGCACCCTCTTGGCTGCCTTGAAATGGTTTTTACTTGGATTACTCATAAATCTGGAGAGGATACTTGTTGCAAACATTAAGTCAGGCCTAGCTGCTATTAGATACAACAAACAACCTATTAAACTTTTGTATAAACTCTCATCTACCTTTAAATCCCCGTCTTTTTTATTCAATTTCTAAGTTGCAACCAGCGGTGTATTGACTGACTTGCATTTATCCATGCCAAACCGTTTAAAAACCTCCATAGAATACTTCCTTTGATTAACAAATATCCCACATGAAGCTTGATTAATTTCCATACCGATAGTACGACATTTTCCCAAGGTCTGTCATTTCAAATTTACAATGCATGGCTTCCTAAACCATTCAACTTACTTGGACTACTTCTGTAAGGAGAAGATCATCTACATATAGTGAAACAATAATCAATTCATCCCCACCTCTCTCATAATAATGTGTGCTCATTGGACTTCTCAAATAACCCAAGTTGCTCAAATATTCATTGATCCTCCTATACCAGCTCTAGGAGCCTGTTTTAGGCCATACAAAGTCTTCCTCAAAAGATACACTTATTCGCTTGGCCTTTAACTTGTACCCATCTGTTGCTTATATAAATCTCTTCACTGAGCCATCCATTCAAAAATGCATACTTGACATCCAATTGGAATATTTTCCACCCGAATTGTGCAGCCAAAGCTAGTACAACCTGATTGTGTCAAGCCTTGCCACCGGTGCAAATGTATCTTGAAAATCAATTCCATATTGTTGGCAAATCGTTAACAACCAACCTTGCTTTGTGCTTATGAATTGAACCATCATGATTAATTTCTTCTTGAAAATCCACTTTACTTGAATCACTTTTCTATCCTTTGGTCTGTCCACAAGCTTCCAGTTTGATTTTTCTCTATCATTGCTAACTCCTCCTGCTATCAACTCTCCAAGCTTCAAATTTTGCTGTTTCAATGAAGCTTGTTGGTTCAAGTGCAGCCATATTACACCTCTCATTAACCTCAGCCAATGATCGAGTACCTCTAACTGGGAGCTCTTCTTCAGTTTTACTTCCATCTTCCTCAACAACTTCATCACCAATAGCATAAGTCAGCCGTGGACTTTCTCTTCACAACTTTGTTCTCTTCCTAATTCCAACACTTTTCTCATCAACCTTTATTCTCTAGTGACATGATCTTCTTGGTTTCTAACTATACACTCTATATGCCTTAGATTGATTACTATATCCAAGAATTCCTATAGTCGCTTTGTCATCCAGCTTCCTTCTCTTGACTGCTGAATCAGGACATAACAAATGCTGTCAAAGACCTTTAAATGGTCCACACTGGTTTGATTCCATACCAAGCTTCATAAGGGGTTTGGTTGATCAAGGCTTTTGTGGGAATCTATTAAGCAAATACACTGAAGTGTTCACAGCTTCTGCCAAAATTTTCGGCAGTTTCTTCTTAGCCAACATGCATCTCGCTAACTCTACAACGGTTTTATTCCTCCTCTCACTTACTTCATTCTACTGTGGAGTATAGAGACTGCTGAATTGGTGCTTAATTCATGCCTTTATACAGATTGTTTCAAACTCTTTTGATGTATACTCACTCCCATTGTCACTCCTCACCATTTGATACTCAACCGTTTGGTTTTCAAGCAGCAGCATAAACCTCCCAAAAACTCCAACTATTTCATTGTTTTGCTTCAAAAAATACACCCAACACATTCTAGTTTTATCATTAATCAAGACAAAATACTTACTCCCATTTAAGAAAATGTTTGCATAGTCCTATATCATCCGTGTGATGAGTTGAGTTTTTCTACAGCTCTCCAAGCTTAGTTTATGGGAAAGGGTGGTCTGCTCCTTGCCAAGTTGACATGCATGGCATATGGTTTTAACTTCATCAATTTCGAGCATGTTCAGGACCACTGTTTGGTTTGAATTGCTTAAGGCCATGGTTGATAATGGCCAAAAATATGTGCCAAATTTCAGACTCTCTACTTAGCACTATGAGCTTGAATTTTGATTTTTTCCAATCAATGGGAAGCTTTTTCCCATCATTCTAACCTTATAAGTTCACAGCCCTCACTATCTAGTATTTTACAAGATTATCCTGAAAATGTAGGACATATTGTCTCTGTAACATTTGCTTACACTAAGTAAACTTTGTTTAATTCAAGAACATAAAGCACATTAGAAATCAACTTAATACCTGATTGAGTTTGCACAGAAACATCA